TGAGGCCCTTTCATACAGTTCCTCATGTTGTGGTGACCCCCAACCATAACTGTCATTTTGCTACTGTTATGAATGGGGCGACCCCTGTGAAAGGGTCATTCAACCTCCAGAGGGCTCGAGACCCACAGGTTGAGAACCGCTGCTCCAGAGCAAGAGAGAACTGCCCCTTTGAGTTTCTGAGACTGTAAGTGTTTACAGAAGCAGAAAGCTGTCTCCCAAGGGGCTGCTAGTGGTTCTGAACTGCCGACTCTGTGGATCACAGCCCCATGGTTAACTGCTATGCCAGCAGGGCGCCCTAGTGAAAGATCACAGCCCAGAAAACGCCATCGAGCTCAGTTCTTCGGAAGTTCTACTTATTGCCATCACCGTGAATCCGAATGGGAACAGGTTTGGTTTGTTGGTTTGGTCAGCCTGAGATTTTAACTCATCGACTCATCTATGCAAGGTCGTTTGATCCTCTCAACATGGCATGACTGTCCTTTGAGACAAGAGGAAGCTGAGGCAATTCACCCTGCTACTAAAAGTCACACTCCACCCTGCCTCCACAAGGTGGGAACCTCTATGTTGCTGCCTCAACCTGGACAGCTGGAAGGGGGTGGGCAATCTTTCACGACTGCCTCCCCGGGGCTTTGAAAAGGACTTGCTGAGAAGTCTGAAGAGAACAACAGGCCCAACCTGTGTGATCGCTGCTTTTAATTGTTTTCTAAAGTCTTTTTAATTGAATTATCCCTGTGTAGCATGGAAGAGTCGATGAGACGTTGCGCAATTACAAGGCCAGCGCTTGCAGGGTGGAAGAAAGCAAAGGCGCCCTGGGCTGAGGGATGGCATAAAATATGTATTTTTACATAACTGGGAGGGAAAAAAAATAAACTGTCAAGGCTGCCCCGTGGGAGTGACGCCTCTTTCTGTATTTCCATTATCTTGTTTAATGCACAGGGCAACAGGAGCCTCGGTGGGAAAGGAAATACCGAAAGCTTTTCTTCTGAGCCTCCTGGTGGGTTAAGAGGCAGAGAGCCAAGATGCAGAAATCCAAATGGCCTGGGCTGGGCGTGTGTGCTCGGAAACCCATTAAAACTTAAGGGACGGAGGAGGGTGACCTGGGCTGGCTGGAAATGGTGCCGCTCGCCTGGAGTTCTGGGAGAAAGTAGCCTCAGCGGGTTCAGATTGACTGTTGGCTCTGGGTTTGGTATTCCAAGTGGGGCCTTCCGAGTGAGGAAGGGAAAGAGGAGGAGCGAAACTTTCAGGAGAAGAATCTCCACAGCAAACATCTATTGTGTAGTTAGTGCTCTGCTTAGAGGTTTCCTTTCAGTAGTTCATTTCAACCCATTTAAGGGCCCGAGAAAAGAGCCCTGGTATACAGTGTTTAAGGACTTGGCTGCTGACAGGTGGGCAGTTCAAACCCACCAGCGGGCTCCTATGGAGAAAGATGTGGCAGTCTGCTTCCATCAAGATGATAACCTTGGAAATTCTACGAGACAGTCCTACTCTGTCCTGTAGGCTCGCTCTGGGTTGGAGTTGATTTGACAGTAGGGGTTTGGCTATGCAGATACAAACAGGGACTGGGCCAAGGTCACACAGCTAGTGAGTAGCTGACTCCACAGAAGAGGGGACTTCAAAGCTTCGTTAAAATAACTCCGTTATCTTTCCATTCCATCTTTCCACGAACAAAGGCTCTAGGTACAGTTTCATAGTTCTGATCACGCTCAGGGAGATGGAGGGAAAGCAGGTGCCCTTTTTTGGGGGGTGGGGGGCAGAGACCAAATGCACAGAGGTGGCCGGTGCCAGGAAAGGGAAGTTGTCCAACCTAACATCTTCCAGTCTCTGCTTTTCTTGCTTTCTGGGGACAATGTTCTCCAGAGAAGACAGGGGTGGATGGCTGTGGAGAGCCTTCAGAACCTCAGTCTGAGGCTCAGGAGACCTTGGGTCTGAGTCCCAGCTTCAACAGTGACTTACTGTGGGATACGGAGTAAATTCCTTTCAAACCTGCAAATGACAGGTTTAGGTGGTGTTTAGAGGGTTTCTTCCTGCCAAGATTAAAGTATAGCTGGAAGACTGCAGCTCCAGCTTGCCAACTGGCCCCTGGTATAAGAAGGGGGTGGGTTTGGGTCCTCTGCCACTGCCCATTCCCCTCAATCTCTTTCTGCCTCATTTGTCCCATCTAGCAAGTTGGGTTGCTAACTGTAAGGTTAGTCTGGTTCAAACCCATCAGTCTTTCAGTGGGAGAAAGATGAGGCTTTCTACTGTAAAAAGTTGCAGTTTCGGAAACCCACAGGGGCAGTTCTTCTCTGCTCTGTAGGTTCACTGTGAGTCCTCATTGACCCACACCCCTTATCTTGTTTTCAGATGATATTGAGAGGGTCAATTCAATTCTGTCAGTGCCTGGGACTGAATACTCACCGATGTGGACAGCACCTCATGGTGTACTATTGCCCCTCACATCTGTACAGGACCCACACAACAACATAGCCAGGGTTTGTGATAGTGATTCACACTTGGAAGCTGTAGAAACCAAGGCTTCAGATTAGTGAAGCGGTCCTGGCCCTGTGAATCCGTCTGATGACTCACTAACCAGGAGACACCGGCAGTTGAAAAGGCTTAGGGAGGACATTTGACTGGGGACAGAATTCTCCTGACATAGTAATGGTAGTGACTATGGGATGGCATTAAGAACTCAAGGGTCTTTCCTGACCCCAGGCCCTACTGAGCCACTGGTTAGGCAAGGAGGTGAACCCAGTGGGTATGGGAAGGGGCCCTTGTGCACAGTGCTTCATCACTGGATGGCTAACTGACAGTTTTTTTTATTTTTTTATTATTATTTTTTTAAATCTTTTTTTTTTCTTCCTTTTTTAACATTTTATTAGGGGCTCATACAACTGTTATCCCAATCCATACACACATCAATTGTGTAAAGCGCATTTGTACATCGTTTCTCAAAACATTT